GATCAGAATTTACGTGGTATCCCCGTTCAACTGAAACATGACTAATCCACGGAGAGCAAACTCTTAGAGAAAATCAACTATAATTCTGTATCTCTTAGGGTTCGCGGCAGCCACAGACATAAAAATATATCCATCTCTTAATCTATCAACATAAAGATGGTAAATAACTAATAGACCCTATGTAACAAGGAAAATTACAAAAGGGTCCCCACCACTCCCACTCAAGCGTAGGAGTGAATATCGACAAGTCTGAGCTTGATAAAGAGATGATGAAACCGATCAACATTCAAACCTTTCATAAATAGATCCGCCGGTTGATCTGCATTAGCAATCTTGGTAGGGATAATTTCACTGGACTGAATGCGCTCACAAACAAAGTAGCAGTCCATCTCGACATGCTTGGTGCGTTCGTGAAACATCGGATTAGCAGCAATATGAAAAATTGCTTGATTATCATAGAACAAGGGAGTGGGATGAGAATCAATGACCCCAAGATCACGTAAGAGCCACCCGAGCCAGAGAACCTCACTAACAGTACTAGCCATCAATATGTATTCAGCTTTAGTAGAAGAACGTGACATCACTGTGGCACTGTCTGCTTCTTTGTGCGCCAAGAGATGGGGGAACCGCCAAGGGTGATGAAATAGCAACATATGTAAGTGTTAGCATCAACTTGACAATGGCAGAACTTCATGATACAACTTGAAGGCCAAGTCAAGATTCAAATGTGAAAATCAAGTTGGAAAAGCAGTGGCTGCCCAAAAGCAGTTAAGGCAAGTTTACAGGCCAAAAAGAAGAAAGAATATAAACTTACCTTACAAGAAGATCTCAAGGGAGAATTGAAGAGCAACAGCTAGTTGGTGGAGGCTATAAATAGAGACAAGACTGAATCAGTATGTGAACCTTTTTAAGTGATCAACAAAGCTAGCTAAGACAAAAGGGGATTTTGTGAGAGAGTAGCAAGGTTGATAGAAAAGGGGGTTTCTCAAAGGGTTCGGGGAGAATTTCTTTGAGGGTTAGTGTTGGGGAAACACTGTTACGAGTTGCTGGGGAAGCAATTCGGGGTTTGAGAAGAGAGAGTTTGATCAATCGGGTTGAGATTGATAAAAGGGTTCTTGGGTAGATAGAGTTACATCGAACTTCATCGCTATATCTTTAGTGAATCGTCGGAGATCACACAACAGTGATTCTCCGACCGTGGAGTAGTCAGTATTGGGATCCTCATTCTCCCAATACTGGAAACCACGTAAAAATCGCGTGATGGGTTCTTACTTTGCTTTTCATTTTCTAGTCTGTGTGTGCCTCTGCTCGTATTCTGTTCCAGGTCAGGTTGTGCAGGGGAACTCGATCCACGAGCAGCCAGGGAAGGCGACGTGCCTGAACAGAGTAGAGGAACTCGTGAAGTTGGGTTTGATTTAACTGGGTTCATTCTTGGCTGGGTTCATACTGCTGTGTTCTTAATTTTTCTTCCTCTGTTCTTCATTCTGCTAGAAGCAGGTTAACCTTGGATCGAAGGGGATAGTAGGGGGGAACTCTGAATTTGAATTTAAAACACCGCCGTTTTGGGTTGGTCACTTAGAGACTGGGTTGGTTCGACACATTAGTTGGGCTGGATTTTCCAAGTTGGCTTATTTCTCCCGCGTGTATTGAGCAGTTGGGCTTAGAAGCCCAGTCAGCCAACAACGCTCGGTTTTAATTGAGTGGGCATTGGTTTTATTAGTCTAAGTGAAGGTTTTAATCGAGTGACTAAACTAAGGTAGTTGATTAGTGTGTAGAGTTTAGTCCAAGGGCTTTGCTAGCAGACACATTAAGTTAAATTAACCTTTTGTTAGTCTTTTATGTTCAATTGGGTAAAACAATATAATTGAGTTTATTTGTGGTTAATTGATCAAAAGACATGTATAAAGTCTCGCGCTCGACGCAAACAACAGTAAGATGTGTCCTGGTGACAGTAAGGTAGAGAAGGCGCCCAACCAAGCACCGATAAATGTTGGGATCACTCCCCGGTGGAGAAGGAGAATGCCCCAAGTGGTGTTGTTGCTCGATGGGCGTAGAACAAGGTTTGGATGCTTCAAGCCCGTTACTAGCAAAAATATCAAGCACATATTTACGATGATTAAGAACCACACCAGGCAGAGAGCGAGCCACCTCGATCCTCAAGAATACTTGAGGGCCCCGAAATCCTTGGTGGTAAAATGAGCATATAAATACTCCTTGACACGATTGATGAATGCCAAGTCTGTTCCTGCCATAATGACATCATCAACATATATTAAGGCAATTACAAAAGTATTACCTCGCTGGTATGTGAACAACGCGTGGTCCACGACTTTGGACAAAGTCGAACTCCAAAAGTGCCTATGTGAATTTTTGGCACCAATTGCGAGAAGTCTGACGTAACCCGTAGATGGACTTGTGAAGTCGACAAACCTGAGACTAGACAGGACGCCCAAAGCCTCGCGGGATAGCCATATAGACCTATTCATCAAGATCTCCATATAGAAAAGCATTATTCACATCGAGTTGGTGAATATGCCAGCCACTAGTGACAACAATAGCTAAGAGACAACGAATAGTGACGAGTGATAACACCTAAATTGATGTTATTTGCCCTTCATGATTAGGTTTATTTTGTGCCAATTCATGTGCATAATCGTTTGAATAGCGTCGATTGCATCCCTATTTCGTTACTATTTGATTATGATGTAATTTTAGGGTGCTTTAGAGAATACGTGCAAATTAGGTACGAAAAAGGAAACAAGTGTAGAAAAAGGGGCAGAATGCTGATGCTCACTGCCTGAAGATGGAGATCAAGGCCGAGAACAAAGACGGGGAACTCAAGGCAAAGATCACGGCCTCGAAGCGTAATATTGTGGCCGCGATCTTGGAGGCTGAGGGCACGTACTTCGTCAAAAAAACCAACAAGGAGAAATAGAGAGTTTCCCCAGTCTGATCGCGGTCACACTTTACATTAATTGGAGAAAGTTTGTTGTCGCCCTTCACGGATCGCAACTGTGTAGTCATTGAAATGAGTTATGCTCTTAATTCCCCAGATACCTCGGTGTGGATGGTGGGTAGTACCCATTGAAATGAGCTATGCTCTTAATGCCCCCAGATACGATAGCCTAGATCGAGGTGACTGACATGGGTTTAGGGGAGACGTACTCGAAGACGCGTGGATAACCACGAAAGCCCATGGAAAAGAGCTCACTCACCATATTCGCCAAACCCTATTTATCTAGACATTGCATAGTAGACCTAGGATAGGGTGAGAGATAGTTCCTCGAAGACCAGCTTTTATCCTTATGTAACATAAAGATACTCGCCTATTATCAAAGTTGCAACTAAGCAAATAGGATACAGACAATCCCATGTTAAGTGGTATCTATGAAATCTTAACCTAGAGGAAGTTCTCACTTAGTCTAAGAATAATCAGTTACACAAAGCAAGATATACTATTTTTGGAGTTACTTCTCATCGACAGGATTTTTGAGAAAATAGATCATTCGTGATAATGGTAAAAACTTGCACTTTCAAATTTGTCTCAGATCAACTAGATCACGAGTACATAGAAAAAGCGTGATAATGGTGAAAACTTCCACTTCCGGAATTGGCTCAGATGGAGAGGATCTTGAGTTTGTAGTACAATTTTGCTAGTAACTTGTTATAAAATAACCATTCTGGAATAAGAAATATGAACACTAGTGACAACAAATGGAGAAGAAGAGGAAACTTCTTTAATCATTAATAGAAACATCCTCATAACTGAACTGTAGAATGTAGAAATGGAAGTAATAAAAGTCTCTGTGTCGCCTCTGCTTCTTCAAGGTTGCCTTTTAGAGGCATTAGCTAGTGCTTGCACTCAATCTCCACCGTCATTTGCATTGGTTGGAGTTAGGAAATGGTGGACGGGATGGTGATATAATGGGTTGTTTGGTTCGTGGTTTTGAAAAATGAAAGTTTTGCAAAGTCTGAGTGTTGAAAAATCATGGATTATGAGGGTTTTGTTTCATTATGGACTTGAAAAACATCATTATTTGTTTCATAGATTTCATTAAGGATTTTTTTAATTAGATTTGTATGAAGTGAAATTGACCTTTATTGCCCTCATTAGTATGAGAAGAGCTGAAGAGAAAATAAATATCTTCAACTCCTAGCTCAGCTCACACCTATGTACTTTGCTATCCTGCTAATGATATGCTTATGCATGACATAAGCAGATGAAAAGAATAAAAGAGAATCAGCTTGTAGCTGAGTGAGACAATTATTTCACCATAAGTAAATTACTAAGAACTACAAGTATGTGGCTACTTGTTTATAATAGGTTTGAACATTCACAACCAATTGATGTTTGTTGTTGTCCTTCACCTCCAGCTTTCATGGTGTCAGTAAGATACCTCAGGTCTCTAACAAAGTAACAGAGAGTCAGTCTAGGCACTTCAAAAAGGAAAATTCACATAAAAGTATTACTAGAGGAGCATCATTTAGTTCAATTAAATCTCCTCTTATGATCCATTCTTAAGTGCACTCGAGCACACTTGAGGAGCATCAGTTAGTTCAATTCAAATTAAGGTATGTTCCCTTAAGCATCACATCTAGCCTTAGCTGCAGCTAGTATGTGGGTTGTTTTTTTTTTTTTCTTTTTAATTATTATTAGGTAGGACTATTTGTTCTTTTCTGATTTTCCTGAAAAGTCAGTTACATCTTACATGTTTTTTAATTTAATCAATAAAATAAACAATATCAAAGTGTTGAACAGTAAGTCTTTTTGCCGTTACTTTGGAACCAGCCGTTTGGGCCATTTCTAATGGGCCGCTGGGTTTGGTTGAAATTAATAAAACAAAATCAATGTTATGTCACAACGTGCACTAATAAGAAGTCTCATCTCATCACCGATGTCGCACTTTTTACAACTACACCGTAGTATTGGCCCGGTGATTATGGAGCTATTCCGAACGTGAGTTGTTGTGGAGCTGGACTCCCCCAACAGAAACAAGAAAGACTCATTTGATGGTTGAGGGTATACGGGCCTGGCTTGGATCGTGAAAATTGGGACCGATAATGATAGGCTTAGAGAAGAGTTCATAAGTCATAATAATTAAGCAAGAGAAACAAACCCACATACTAAAGCATATAAGCCGATGATCAAGACCCAAAGAAACCAACTACTTTGGGCCCATACTGAAGAATCAAAGGGGCTTTTGCTTTGCTATCCATACTATGTCATACTAAAAGCCCAATGGGCGCAAGCATACAACAACCCACTCGAATGGGCCGAAACTAACTAGCAGCCGCTTTCCACCTCTAAGCTACTGAGCCCACCACTTGCAGCAGCATTCCCATTCTGGTTTTGAACACTACCCTTCTTCCTCTCCTTGCAGTAGCATCCGTACAGAATCATTTGAGCCATCCCCAACACAACTCCCACTCCGTTCGGAATCTGCAACCATTTCATTGGTTTTTGGTTTTTTTTTTTTATGCAAATAGGACAAGGAAAATTCCAAAATAATACTGCAATGGAAATAAACTTATCTTTTTTTATTTATTAAAACAAATAACTAAACAGACGATTAAAATTAATCACAGAATACCATGATATAGTAATCATGCAGCAGCAGCCCATAAGCTAGCCAGAGTGTGGCACTGAGGAAGAGGAAAAAAGAGAGCGTGAAAGGCATGAACTCCACACTTTTTGTATGCATCACCTGCCTCTGCACAACCCATACATTTCATACCAGACTACTGTTAAAAATTACTGAAAACCCCAGATTATTATGAAAGAAGAAGGGGAAAAAATGAAGAGTAAGTTGGTGAGACAGACCATAATGGTGAGAGGAGAAGCGAACATGAAGCAGGAAAGAGCTGCACAGAGCCATCCCACCACCTGAAGCCGGACCTCCCCTTTCGCGAAGAATCGCGTCAGGACAAGTATGGCGATGAACCCTCCAACGCTCGTTACAGACACCAGCTTCACTGTCAGAATCTGCATTGAGTCCCCAAATGACGATGAAATTTTTTGAATTGAGATCGAAACCCCTCGCGAATCGAATCCCAGCAACAATAAGCGAAGTGGGCTTGCCTTGGCTTGCTTTGGAGCATAAGCTACGAAGGCCACGATGTAGAAAGTCTCGACAGCGAAACCGACGGAGTTGACGACGAGGAGAAGGTCGTTGGACTTGAGCACGGCGTAGTAGATCCAGAGCATGGCGCTGAATTGGGCAGCTACGTAAGGGACGGAGTGAAACCCTTCCGTTGATTTGCTTCTGTACACCCTCCAAAACGTCCACCTGCATTCATTAATTAAATTAATGCCATAATAATTGCATCAATGATATTATGATATTATGACCCATCAAGTTCATGTAGTCTAGCAATTGAGAATAAGAAAACAACAAGAGTGCTGAATACTACTTACATTGGTGCAAGGTACATCATGATGGAGGTGATATTGCCTGATCCAACACATAAATTCGTATCAAGATTGATCATGAAACATAATTCGTATCAAGATGGGTATTAATCCGCGCGTGGTAAACTTACCAAGAATGCCGATAGTAAGCAGGAGGATCTGGTCAGGATGGTGATGATGATGAGCCTTCATTCTCACTTTCACTTCACTAGTGCTTATCTCGAACTCTTTTTCTCTTTCCCTTCAACACACAACTAGACATACAATGCGCACATATATATAGTGTTGGCTACTTGCTAAATGAATTAGGTACCAAGTACGCAACAAGCCCTATATGGCCAGCAAAAATTTTCAAGTTGGTGGAGCACACGTACACAAATTAAAACCTAACTCGCCACAATAACTTGGTCTTCCCTAATAGTGTACTCAAAACAACTTTTTTGTAGAGACGAGACACTGCACCATGTCACATGAATGGATTTTTTTGCGTTTCTTAGTCTGCTTTCCTGGATTCAGCATTCCATGGTAAAAAGTGAAAACAGGGAGCTGCAAAAGTAACCCTGCTACTTTTCCCTGAACGATCATAGTCAAAAAGGGTGGGTCTGTGATTTTTGAGGAGTACATTGTTATTGTTATTGTTATTACAATTCTGGTCACGGGTTACTGGGTTAGGGGGAAACTCTATCTTGGAAATGTGTAAATTTGTGCTCAGCGGGTACAACACAGACTGCAAGCCAATTCAGGGAAACACAAGAGAGATAGTGCGGAGAATCGCACACGTTGCGGACAAATTGCACGGCTGAGGTTTCAGCTCGATGCCAGTTTCTAATTACATGCTCCGTTCACACCAAGCTTTCGATGAGATATTTCTATTTGGGATGTTTCTCGTTTGCAAATGAATATTTTTTTTTTTTAACTATTTGGTTGTCTTCTTCTAATCATATGTAAATCACTCATTTTTTTCGTGAATTTTTTTCATTCTTAATCGTCATTTTTTTATAAACCTAATGTTAACTCTTATTTATTTTATTCATAAATTCAATATTTTCCAAAAAAATTTCAAACAATATTTTTAAATCATCTCCAATAATTTTTTTTATAATTTTCTAATAAAATAGTCTTAGCTATTTGGGAGACCGGTATCAAATATTGGTTATGTTTGGTTGTAAAATGATATAGTTCGGTATCGTTACAATTTGTGAAGAAATTTCACATATAATTATCATTCAATATTAAGAAGTAGTAGTATTTAGGGATGACAACTTTGCTCATACCCATGGGTTTCTTACTATCCAACCCAATTGGGTTGGGTATGAAATCCAAATAGATGGATATGGGTAGAGTTTGATGGGTTTGTACCCATACCCATTTACTTTGGGTTGAGTTGGGTTTATATCAAATGGATTTGGGTTTGTATCCATACCCAAATACAAATTACAGTTTGTTACCCAAACTTAATAGATATGCATATTTAGTACCTAAATTTAATTTTTTTTTCATATAAGTCCTCAAAATATCGATGGAAAATTACGTTTTGGTACCTAAATTTTTTTGGTCTTACATTTTGGTACCTAAACTTTTCAAGTTTTACAAATAGGTCCGATTTTTGCATGTGTAGTTAAAACACCCTCAAGTAAATGGATATCCATATCCAACCCATACTCATTTAGATTATGGAAGCAATATTCATACCTTACCCAAACCCATCTATAAACCCCCTAATCCATATGCACTTCACCCATACCCAACCCATTATCAATGGGTCTACTTGGGTTTGGATATAATTACCCATGGGCAGGTAATTTGCCATCCCTACTTAATATTATAGTTATTCAAAAGTAAAATAGTGTCACATCAGCACTTCAAGTGCTCTCAGCCCTCCCCGTCATCCTTACTCACATAGAATCATTTAATTTATTTTCCTTATAAAATTGGATATCTTGGTTTCATTTTGCCTTACTTTGCGCAGCAGAAACATCCCTATTTATTGGCAATTATTATTGTAGGAAATGCTCCAGCATTTAACATTTTGTCTCAAACCGATTTATATTGTTGTGTCATTTTAAAAGGTGGTTCGACTAATGGTACAATCGATTTGTACCCGTTCATGCCGGTTTAATAGAATATGTACAAATTTGAAAAACCATTAACATCAAATGAATTTAAGCAAATATAAAAAATATTTGAAGATAATTTACTTATATTCTATATCCATATTTAAATAAAATACAACATTCCAAAAAAATAATAAATATAATATACAAAATTTAACGTCAAGACGCAAACTTTTATACCTAAATTCAACAAATAATTACAATTAACTTTTAAATTCATGAAATTAATCACAAATTAATTTTTTTCATATTAAGTTCACTATAATGGTGTAATTGTATTTATAGGTCGAAAATCGATCATACAGATTATACTGGTAGTATTCAGACCGATTTCATGGCCGACATCAATTGAACTAGGTTCATCCGACGGTCATTCCACGGGCGTGACAACCATGCATTTTTGCCATTTCTTTCCCATAAAAGAGGATGGTTGTACCAATATTCTGGTACCTGAAAGGTAATTGAAGCTACCAGAACGTGGAAATGTTATATATCATCGATTATAGTCTAGACAATTTCAAAAACTAATTTTCAATCAATATAGCAGGTTGCAACTATTCACTTGCTAAACTAAATGCTAAGCTAAACGTATACATAGAAAGATCAAAATAATGATTGCCAAAAATAAAATAAAAAAGTTATTGTCCATTGCTACAAAAAAAGTATATTGTTGGTACATATTTTTTAGAAGATGTTGGTACATATTGAATATGCTCATGATATACAATTGCATATTTCTTTTGTGTCCACGGTTGAAATTCAAATAATTTTTTAATAACCTATTTTTATCAACTGGATTGTATCTTCGTCAATTTAAGCAGTATATTAACAATTATGTATAGAAAAATGAATTGATTGTGATCTACAAAAGACTATCTATTTATATATATTTGGTAAAATTTTCCAGTCGTGTATACCACCATAATATATATTTTTTAATCTTCATAACACCATGATATATACACCTTTATGTATGTTTTTTTTTCCAAAATATATCACAGTAATGTCATTTTGTAGAGTATATTTATTTAATTTTTAAGCAAAAATACGAGAAATTAAAGGACAACCACTATGATTTCATTATTGAAAAAATTAACAATAATAAAAACATGCCGCCCATCGGGCGGGCACAAAACTAGTATTATATATGGCTAATACCAAATGTTACATGTTGGTTGCAAACTGAATTTTGTTTTTGTGATTGTCTTTATTATGATAGAAAAGAAAATAACACATATTACATGTAATGACAAAATAATAACATTATTGAAAATGACTCAATGAAAAATTACTCATCCAAAGTAACAAAAAAATTATTTGAAAATATCTATATAGTCAAATATCTATATTTTGCCAAATGACTAGTTTAATTTGTAGTTATTGTTTGGTATTTGTGGTTCTAAAAGATGTATGTAGACAATTCCTGTGTTAATATAGAGAATCTATCATCTTCGTATCAAGATAATAATAAAAAGTGCGTGCATTTGAAATTTGAGACATATTTAATACTTCATTTCTATGATTTTAAATGTCAACAAATAACTCGAGATTTTTTTAAATTCTGATTGTGAGATTGTAGATCCAAATTTACTTCCATTTTTATCCCTAGTGAGTTTCATGTATCCTCATAATGCCTCATCAACTATCTAATTTCCCACCAGTTGAATATTTTGTTAGGAAAACAAACCTAACATTTGATGTTAATGGTCAATTTTTAGAGTAAGAAAAAAACATAGTTGGCTCTACATATAGAGAGAAGGAAGTATATATATATATATTCAAAAAGTAATAGTACACATTTCATTACCGAAACTACAAATACAATCACCAAACATTAAAATGTTATATTACATCCATTTATTACCCTAAACAAAATACCAATTTATAATACAAGTATTCTATCAATACTTAACAAGCACCAAACATGACAGTAAGTACACCAAGCAAATGAACCTAATTCTTCCTTTCATGTGATATTGACCCCAGCGGCCAGCAGCTTTCTATAAAAAAAAAAAAAAAAAGACCCAGCAGCTTAATTAGCTATTCATGCCTGGCCTTCATGCTTTACTTTTCTCGATATATATAGCTTCAGTGTGTGGTGTGTACGAACGATACACGAAGGGCTGAAGGGGATCCAAAAACAAAAGTAACAAAAGATGACAAAACGGCCAATCCACAAGTGGGCGTGTAATTCTAACTCGGCACTTGATCATGACAATCGATGGGAGGAGTTCCTTACACAACCACTTTCAATTTACAAACCCGATTATGCTTTGCAATCGCCTGCATCACCAGTATGGATCGCCACATGGTATGTAAACAACTGTTTATATAAAAACAGGGCGTCTTTGTTTGAAGCTTCTGCAAAATATATATTGTTTTGATGTATAATTAACGGTTTTGATTCGACAGGTTTAGCTCAATTTGTTTTGACTGGTTAATGGTGGAGCAAGGAATGAGTCCTTCATTTGGCCTGTTTTGATCGTTTTCATCAACCTGGTATATCTAACTCCAGTCTTATATTTACTCAACCTTTAAAGTTTCTATAAACAATAGTTTTAAGTCGAATATAATTATCGTTAAGCAACAGTTTTCTCTCTCTCTCAAATGATTTGATTTTATTAATCATTTGATCCTCTACATTTTTGTTTAAATTTCTTAGTTTCATAATAAAAATGAGTTGTAAGATTTTTTTTTTATTGGACATGTATATCTAAGAACATCCACATCAATGATATTTGGTCAATTGCTCTTCATTTTAACTTACAACAGTTGCTAATGGGAAGGGCTAATATGCTAACACATTGAGTCGCTACCACTACAAGTCAATCCCAACAATAGGTCAAGTGTAATCTAAACCAGGTGTAGCACAGAGTAAGTATTTCAAATATCAACCCGAGTGATCTATATACCCTTTCTTCCGCCGTCTACAAGTTATCTAACAATCGAATTGTTATTAAAACTAATAAACTAAGCAAGCAACTAAACCGATGTTGAATTCAATCGATAAAAGATCAATCAGACGATATTCCCCTTAGTCCCAGGTTGAGATGCTACTGTGATACTCTAATGCGATAGGCAAGCTTCATTTACTGTTAGGAGAGCTAAAGTAGCTAGGACACCCTATTCGAGTTCATCCTAGCCCGCTTAATCGATCTAATCGGAGGGACGTACCTCATACCCGCAAAGACAACTAAGCAAACTGATTCTACTCCCTAGAGATTAACTTAGAACGACATAGAGTCACTAATCCCAACCAGTGCAGT